GGCCATAACCATAGCCGCACCAGGCTCTCCTTAACCTGCAGAACCATTTCGAGAACCGGGGGAGGCGGCGAACACGCAGGGGGAACCAGATAAGCCTCCTGATCCTGACCAAGGAGGACCTGAGCTTGTCCACGCGGCTCTTCTTTCTGGAGAACTGGTAGCTCCGCAGGAACAGCTGCCTCTTCTCCACGTACATGCAGTATCCTTCATCAATATGGTTCTGCTGATGATAATAATTGTCACACCTCACCATCATCATACAAACCGGTGAAGTAGAGGATGGGTTGTTTGTTCAGGTGAGATATATGCATGCATCTGACTTTTGGGAAAACTGGGGAAAATCTGAGAAAGGAAGCAAGAGCAAAAGTAGAGAGAGGAACAAGAAAGGAGAGGAGAGGAGAGGAGGAGGATGGAAAAAGTCAAAGTCCATTTACATTGTTGGACTATATTTTAAGGGTTAATTACACTTAAATACCTACACTTTCCCTCAAATTTCACATAAACACCCAAAGCTCTCATCGTTAAAGAAAATTAATTAAACCCCGCAAAAAAATAAATTGCCGCTAAAAAATAGTAAATGACATAAATGCCCCCCTCCCCCTGCGTGGCAACCCAAAACCTTTATTCGGTAAGTAAACCTGCATGTGGTCTTTTTGTAACAAATAAAACTATAGAATGTCTCTTTGCAATTGAGTGAGACACAATGATCTGTTCGCAATTAACCCTATCAGTATTTATAATTAACCATCCAGCGTTATTTTCTTCTGTTATGCTAAGGTTTCACTTCGAAATCATGCGATAAAAAATTAATTTTGCTTTGAGAATAAAAAGCAACATTTTTAGAAACCGTACGAGTCTAAATATGACTAGAAAACATATTAACATGAAAGAAGATCCTCTGGGTAACCTACGAAAACATGAAAAGGTCAGGATCTGCTGAGCTCGCAATACCAAGAGTGAGCAGTAAACGACATGACAGTCAAGATGAAAATGTCAACTGAACAAATGAGAAGCTATCAAAAAGGGGTAAATATCCCCCTCTCCATGTGGCTACACGAAAGCTATCGACGTTTACTTTACGATCTAATCGCCCAAAGTCATGAATGTGGTCCTAGAAGTTATGAACTTGACCCTGGGGATTTATTATTCAAACTAGAAGCTTTCCAGTATGCAGAATCGCCAGCTTAGCCTCTTGATTGCCAAAAAATAGAGACGGCTGCTGCTTCTGACGTCTCTGATGAGGCGTAAACCCGTGTTATGTACCAATTATCTCCTGAAAGGATTTTTTTGGTGCGCACATAACTTTCAACAACTGATGATGGATGAAATATTGCATCGAGAACCTAAACTGGCTCACCACACAACTCGCACACGGTGGCTTCATTCAAAGAGGAAAAAGGATTAACTGCACATAGACTCCCTGTAGCGTCGCTGTTTTCGTACTCACTACCCCTGCGGTTTACATTGGACGCTTGGGCAATTTCTAGACTCTTTACCCAGAGAGAGATTTTGGCATTGCATTGTCCCTGATTGAAATTAGGGAGTCTGTCTGAGGGTAAACGAGTCAAAAAATAAGCCCTGAAAGTCTATCTGCAACTCTGAAACTACAGGGGTAGTAAGTTCAAAAACTGAGAGTACACTATGGGGAACCTATGCGCAATTAACCATAGGAAAAAAGCTTCAGAAAAGCTAGAGCAGAAACATAGTGAGAACTTCCTTGGGATTCCTTCCAAAAAAATTTTCCAAAACCCAATGGAGATCACAGCTAATAACTGAAAACTTAATCACAACTTGTACTTGCAGAGTTTGTCAAGGGGAAAAAGAACTTGTACATCAACAGTTATTAGCCATTACAGTACTCAAACACAGAAGCTGAAGCACTCTAAGCATGAACAAATCAAAGAAGCCATCAGGAGGAGGAAGGAACAACTAATTCTTTGGTATGTTTTTGCCGACAATTTTGGCTGGCGTTATTCGAAGAAGATTGCCAGGTTTTCCAGGAACTGCCCCTTTTATCAAGACTACTCGTAGCTCATTGTCGATCTTCACAATCTTTAGCTTTCGGATCTTTGTTTTGGTTCCTCCCATTCTCCCGGGCATCTTCTTTCCCTTGTAAACATGCCCGGGTGTTGTTCCTGCTCCTATTGAACCCAAGGCCCTGTGGCTTTTAGAACCATGAGTCATTGGCCCACGTCGGAAATTATGTCTTTTTATACCACCTGTACAAGTTAAAAAAACGTTCCAATCACCATATTGTCAGAGGAACATTCACTGCACCAAAAATTCAAAGTTATAGTGAGGGTTGATGTATAGTTTTATGTCCGAGTATGCCTTCTACAGGTTGAGCGCTCTTTTATGGGGCAAAACTTGGACTCATGAAGCAGGATCTCTCTTTTTTAAATCCGCTTAATTTGTGGCCGATAAGACTTGAAACTGTGGTGCTTTGACGCCATGTCAAAAGACCTTTATATTGCACCGAAGCTCCGAAGTTGTGGTGAGGGTTGAGGGTCACAATTTTGTTCTCTTAACGCATGTATCATCTTGCTTAACTCCTATTGACCCTCACCAAACCAATCAGAAAGGTTGAATACAGATTCATACAAGTGGGAATAAGTTGCTGAAGCATCCACTCATTTCCTAACAAATATGTGAATAGATACTGTATGTGCCCTTACATTATCAGCACTCCCTGACCCTTGCAAGATTAGTACAAAGTTGAGAACGAATTCCAAGAGGATTATAATCCAAAGTTCGCTAACATGCTCTAAACTGCTTTTGCATGCAAAAAGAGATTACGCTAGCTTTCTGAGCCGCTCATTTGCCTTTCTTCAATAAAACATTTGAAATGGAGTTTATTATAGATATTCTCAACTTAATTAAGACAATTTCTTCACATGATGCAATTCAATTTCTTTATTTCGAAAAACAAATGATATTTTAAGTGAGGATAGAGTTTATAATTTGGTATCAACTTATCTGATCTAATTCAGAAATGTACAAACATTTCTCCGTTTCCAATATAACCAATAAAAAATGTACACCCAAATTATAAACATTTTATAAAAGCTAGTTCTAATGCAGAGTAAAGTAATCTATTACTATATACTAAATAGCCACTACCGGTTACATGAGTGACAAGTGGTAGCTCTTTTAGTTTGTATATTATGTTATATTCATTTTCATGTCTTTTCTATTAATGTCAATTATGTTATATTAATTACTCTTTCGAAAGTATGTCATCATCTCTACATGAGTTCTATAAAAAAAATTATAAATTAATGTCATTTCACTTTCTCATCATCAAATTCTATGAGGGACCTAGGGGAACTCAAAATTCTACAAGGGAACTAGGAGAACTCACCCTAAAAGCTAGCTATTACTATTGAAAAATTCTTTAAGGACCCAAAATATGGGACCAATAAAGGGGACAAGTGAGGTGTCCCCCTCCTATTGGATAATGAGAGTTGGGGGACACCTCACTTGTCCCCTTTATTGGTCCCATATTTTGGGTCCCTCTAGCAAAGCTCATTACTATTTGATTGAGGATCCCAAATCCTCTACACACACCGCACTTGATCAATGTGGGACTAAATGGACCCTAACATACAACCACGCTTCCGCAACTCCAGCACCCACCCGGGGCTGGTCGTGCACTAGTGCACAGTTGAACACAACAATCCTGAGGCCACCCATTTTGCTTTGCACTTAACTAGTCCCAGGTAAACACTGCAATGTGAGCGTCAATGCCCGAACCGATACGAATGTGGGGTAGGCTCCGACACCACTACGAATGTGGGACTAAATCGACCCTAACAAATTCCGGTGCAATTGCGCGGGTAACGATCTGGTAAGTGTGTACACTATCTATGAACCGCACTGCATTGTATGCCCACCAAGTATTCGTGAAAATTTCCAACCGAACAAGAAAGCAGAAACAACAGACCTTGAAACCCTTTTCCGATCGAATTCCCACTCACATCGACGAGATCCCCCTCCTTGAACACCTCCTCGAGCACGAGCCTCTGCCCGGGCTCGAACCCCTCCACCTTCTCCAGCCTAAACTCCTGCAGGTGCCTCATCGGCACGGCCCCGGCCTTCTCGAGGTGCCCGAGCTCGGGCTTCGTCAGCTTCCGGTCC